TGGGGACAGGGGACGTGGACAGACACCTGCACCTGTTCCCTGCGCATGTTCATGGTGGCCAAGGCGAGGAAGCAACCCCAGGGCACACTGATGGATGGACCTGCACGTGTGAGGGAAGAGGACTCGGCCATGAAAGGAGGGCGATGCTGCCACCCCCTGCCACCAGGGTCAGCCCCGCACCCATCGGGCTAAGTGAAAGCAGCCAGATGCAAAAGGACGCACATCGTCTGATTCCGCGTCCGTGAGGGAACTGACGAGAACAGGCGAACTCAGAGGTGACCAGCAGCTGGGGTGGGGTGGGTCATGCCTCGTGGGCACAGAGCTGCTTTCTGGGGTGACAAAGCAGATAGGGGCGATCACTGCCCCTCACTGTGAATAAAATGACCACCCCTGAACTGCATGCTTCAAATGGTTCGTTTCACATTATGTAGGTTTGTTTTCGCCACTGTAGAAAATATTGAAGAACTCTGGGGAGTCCCTGTGGCCCCTATAAAACGACCCTCTTCCAGAGGGAGGGGTGTCCCTCCCGCCGCGCTGCTCTGAGCCGCGCGAGGCGTTTTTAACAGCTGTCCCACAAAAATAAGCTGCTTACCCCGGGAATGAGCTAAGAAAAACAGGGGCGATAAATCCTCTTCACCGGAGGGAAGGAACAGGTCAAGGAAAGTCACGGTGATCTTTTCTTCTAAACGTCAGGACCCCTGCAAAGGACCAGGCAGCTCTCCACCCAAGACATCAGGACCAGCCCTGGCTGGTTTGGCTCAGCGGTTGGAGCGTCGGCCTGTGGTCCCCAGAGACCCTGGTTGGGTTCTCGCTAAGGGCACGTACCTCGGTTGCAGTTTGTCCCCGGCCCCGGTTGGGTTGTGCGGGTGGCAGCTACTCAATGTGTCCCTTTCACATAGATGTTTCTCTCTCTCTCTCTCTCTTTCTCTCTCTCTCTCTCTCCCCCTTCCTCCCTCCCTCCCACTCTATCTGAACAAAATATCAAAAAATGTCCTCGGGTGAGGATTAAAAAATAGAGACATCAGGACCATCGAAGGTCGGTCCCATCGGCGCACCTGACGGTGCTTGAAAATGAAGGACGAGCAGCCCTCATCTTTGTCAAATTCTGCCATGTGTCCCTGTGTCTAGTTAGACCCCGAGCACTGAACTTCATGCCGGGCACAAGATGGTAAGGAAGGCATGGGGACCCGGGAGGAGGGCCCCCCAGCTTGCTCCCTGCAGACACCCCGGGCTGTGGACGCCAGACGGACAATGAGCACTTGGACCCTCTGCAGGGAGGGCTGTGACTTTCGGTCCCACTTCACACAGCTGTAAAAGTTGTGTCTGCTCTACATGTCCCTCCCTCCCTCCCACAAACCCCAGGCAGCCTCTGGTCTTTTACTGTCTCCCCGGCTTCGCCGGTCCCAGATGCGCTGTGGCTGGAATCACACCGGACGAGCCTTTCAGACGGGCTGCGTTCACTCAGCGACGGCACCCGAGGCTCCTTTTCTTCATGGAGACCTAGCGCCTTTCTGCCCAGTAACAGCCCCTTGTCCGGATGGAACCAGTCTCCTTATGTCCTCCCCTACCGAAGGGCCCCTCGGTTGCTTCCACGTTTTGGCAACTATGAATAAAGAGCTATAAATAGCCACGTGCAGGTATCTGTGTGAACATACATTTGAACTCCTCGGGGTACATACCAAGGACGACGCTAGCCGAATCATATGGTGAGACGAGTTTATTTGTGAGGAACAGACACAGTCTCCCCAAGCGGCCGCCCCATTCTGCAGGCCCACTGACCAAGGACGGGCGTTCCGTGGCTCCCCCGTGGCTCCGTGGCCTCACCAGCACTGGGTGTTACGATGCTGTTTCCACATTGCTGCGACACATCATCCACGTCCCCCATTTTCACACGTACTGGCCTCACATTGTTCGCAGGGTTTCTGTGTTTCGATCTTTGAACTTGGACGCGTTTTTCTCGCGGCCTCTGTAGGTTTTTCTTCCTCCTGAGTATCTGAGCGGGACGCTGGCCGTCTGGGGAGATTTTATGAGGCTGGGTTTTTAATTTGTTCCTGTCTATTGATACTGTCTTCATCCTTTGAGTAATTTATGATCTTCGTTTTTATGTTACTTCCACATTTCTTAGTCCACGTTCTTCTAATCTCATTTTTTCTTTCTTAAAAAGCTCAGGAATTTAGTCTTGAGTCGCTTGTCCACAGCATGGTGCAACTTCCCACCTGTGGCTCATTCCTGCCCCGTTCATTCCCAAGTGACTGACATTTTCACTGTGAATCCCTAGGTAATCGTGAGTGAGCCAGGGCACGCGGTCAAGGGTCTGCTGACTTCTGATTAAATTGCACTGGGTGAACGACCGTGGCTGGCATGAAACAGATTGCTTAAAATTTAGCACAACTTGCCATATACGGTCAATTTTTTAAAAAGTTACCAAGATTTCAGAAAAGAATCAAGACTGCGTGTTGGGTGCAGCAGGTTCTCTGCATTTCCAGTGTCTCCAGCCTGTGGACACTTTCTGGTCTCCCTGGAATGGCCCCTAGCATTCCGCGTTCTGCGCTCTGTTGGCCATTCCGCGTTCTGCGCTCTGTTGGCCATTCCGCGTTCTGCGCTCTGTTGGCCATTCCGCGTTCTGCTCTCTGTTGGCCATTCCGCGTTCTGTTCTCTGTTGGCCATTCCGCGTTCTGCTCTCTGTTGGCCATTCCGCGTTCTGCTCTGTTGGCCATTCCATGTTCTGCGCTCTGTTGGCCATTCCACGTTCTGTTGGCCATCCTTTACCCTTCGTATCCTGTTTTTCTTCCTTTTCTGCTTGATGCTGGTTGTTTTTAGTAAATACAGACTCCCTTCTATTTATTTTTTCTGCTGGGTTGGAAACTATGGAGGATACACATATTCTTTTTAATAATTACGGCAAATGTTTTTATTGCACATTAGTTTAAAATATGTAGCCAAGCAGACCTTCCCCAGGTTCCTTTACATTCTGCTTCCCATGGGGTTCCCGCTACCCCTGGACACCCACACATTCCCGGTGCTTTCCTTTGCTTCCACGTGCTGTTGCGTACAATTCCGGATGATGCTGTCTGCCCCTCTGCCCTCTGACGTGCCCGCTCTCCCTTCCGGCCCCGACAGTGCCCACGTCGGGAAAGCTGGCGTCTCCCTCCGGACCGTCTGTGCCTTCCGTCTTCTGGGGCAGTGCATGCTGGGTGCTTTTATGTGAACGGGTCTTGTTCTTCCTGTCTGTCCTCTGAGCACCGCGCGGGGATAGCACCTCTTCAGCGCTGGCCAGCTCTCTACTGACATCTTGTCCACTGTCCCCACCATGGCCCTCTCTGCAGGGTGGCCCCGGGCCTGGGCCTGTGTGTCCTTCTGCGTCTCTCTGTGATGTAGGGAGCAGACTCCACCCAGCTCATTAATTCTCTTTAGACCAAATTTTTTAAAACACTGATAACTATGTATTTCATTTCCTGGATCACCAAAGAACTCTTTCTCACGCCCACCGGTGCTCACTTCATCTCTTCCACTGTGTTTCCGAGTGTCTTGTTCTGTTACGTGGGTGACTCCCCCACCGGGGTCCCTGAGCACCACAAACACTCTCTCTGACTTACCCTCAGTGCCAGGGAAGCTGGGCTCTGCTCTCCGTGGGGCGGTGGAGGAGGGGTGGGGTGGCAGGCGCTGCCCACAGCTGGTGGGGCAGGGCTGTGGGCTCACACACGCTGTTTCCGGGGTCCTTCAGGAGCAGGGGAGCGGCACCCCAGCCTCTGACTACATGCAATGACCTGCGCCCTCAGTGTTCCCCGGGACCCTGACCTGCTTTCAGACCTGCAGGTGCCAGGCTGAGTCTGGGTTTCCCTGCCGAAGAGCTGTGTGTAGACTCAGCGAGAAGCGGAGGGAAGGAGGTGAAGGTCGTGGTGAGCGGGACAGTGTGAACACCCCGGGAAGCTGTCTTCAACACTCTGCAGGGCTTCAGGCGCTGGGACATGTCCGATGCCAGCTCAGCCACCCCTGGGTAACCCGGACCAGGGGCCCGTTCGCTCTGCGCCCACGGAGCCTGGCCTGGGCGCAGATTCGCAGGGTCCCGAGGAGCTGGGGTCTGTGCTCGACTTAGACAGAGGGGAGAAGCTGTGATAACTGCTCCCAGCACCGTTTCCCCCTAACGTTCTGATTAAAGTATTAACATAGACCTCATATGAATATTATTAACACCAAAACTTAGATTATTTTCATTTAAACGAGACCATTGGTGAGCAGCGAAATGTCATGAATTACGAATTTCCCAGCTTCCGGAGCCAACGTTAAGAAACTGGTAGTTTCCCTGGCATGACCTCGTCTGCGAATCTTCTCAAGGATGACCCAGGCCTGTGCTGGGCACAGGGACCGGCCGCTTCCAGCACCGCCGTCTCCGGTGCCCGCGCCAACCTCTCGGACGCAGGGCGGCTCCCAGCTGCTGTGTCTGCTCAACGTCATCGCTTTCTCGAGGAGCAAGTTAAAAAATCTAATTACTCCGATTCTTATCAGTCCCGATCCTTCCTTGTCCTTCAAGTCTCCAATCGTCCGAACAAAGGGCCGCGCGCCTCGGGCCTGCTCCCTTGCGGCTGCCCGTCCGTGTCCGGCCTGCTGTCCATCGCCCTAATTTTTCAACCTTGACCCTTGTGGCGCCATTGTTTCCTTTCCCACGAGGACCCCAGCAGGAGCGCCCTGGAAGGAGCAGACGGGAGAGCCCCCGCAAAACTAGGTGGGCGCGGAAGCAGCCGGTCCCGCAGGAGCTGCCCAGCAGCAGGCGCTGCCCGTCGGCGGGGTCCGGCGAGCGGGAAGCTCCGCGCCCACTTCGGTTCACTGCAAGGAACCGTCTGAGACACCAGAGCCGCACACGCTCCTCGTTCTCAGAACCTGGCTTCCTTCGAGGGGAAAAGGTTAGAACCTTCTTGTGTTAGTAAGAAGACGACCTGCTTAGAACACAGAGCCCTAGACCCCTGCAGGGCCGCAGTGGGGAGCGGCGATTCTGTCCTTACCTGGACGAGGCTCGAGCCGTTCAGGCCGGGCTGGGAGGCCAGGGGCTGCTGAGTCCGGTGGGTACTGGTCCTGCAGAGACAAGGGCAGAGGGCGCGGGTCAGAAGGGTCACTGCACACCTGCCAACGGCCACCACCCCAGCAGCTCACTGCTGCCTCAGTTCCTCACTTCCTTTTCGTGTCTTTGCTCTTTAACTTTTTTTTTTTTTTATCCTCACCCGAGGACATTCTTGTGTTCATCTTCAGACAGAGCGGGAGGGAGGAAGGGAGGAAGAGAGAGGGAGAAACACTGACATGAGAGAGACACATCGAGGGGTCGCCACCCACACGACCCCAACCGGGGCCGGAGACAAAGCGCAACCGAGGTCCATGCCCTTAGCGGGACCGGAACCCGGGACTCTCTGGTCCTCGGGCCGACGCTCCAACCGCTGAGCCAAACCGGCCAGGGCTGCTCGTTGACTTTTAAATAGTGGTTGTTTCGAATTCGCCTTAACACGGACGTTCATCGTGAGAAAAAGCGCGTCCCGCGTGGCCAGGGAGTTCAAGGAAAAGTCCCTCCTGTGCTTTGGACTTAAATGGCTTTCTCGGAATCGCAATTCAAGCAGGGTCCTTGTCCACTGTGATGTCAGCAGCAGACACCTGACGGGCGTTCCACGGAGCGCGTGCGTCTTCTGTGACATGACGGGTCCTCGGGGTCCAGGCAGCCTGGGACCTGGCACCCACATCTGGAGGCTGCTGGCCAAGCAGCTCCCCCTCCAAAAGCATAAGCAGCTCAGTGGCCTCTTAAAACAGCAGGCTGAGGACAAAGCAATATGATGACCAAGCCCACAACTTGGGGAAAAAACATCTTCCTGGGGTTATAATGACGCCGGTGAAAGAGACATCAAAATGCAAGAAAAGGAAGTGGGCCCTTTAACGAGGACCACAGCTTCGCCGTGAGTAACCGGGGTGGGGGGAGACCGATGTTCTCTTATGGATTTAAGAAATCCTTGGCGTTTTTACAACGGACACCAATACCTCCGCCGCTCGGTTTCAGACCTGTGTCTGCAGTATCAGCCGTGGGAGGAAAACCTACTGGTGACATTAACCACGCGTGTGCTCACACAATGGGGTCACAGGCAGATGCTGACAAGCTCGGGGCGGCCAGCCCGGCGGGCCCCGCGGAGTCTCGGAGGCCGAGAGAAACCGGCAGGACGGTCTGATCCTCCACATTCCTAACCAGGAGCAGGTCACGTTCTAACCCCATGGTTTCCTTGACAAAGGTCAATCTTCGCCGCTGAAGTTGCCCAATGTCTTTGTGCATCTCAGATAACGTGCCTTTGAAAAAACGTCAGGGGAATGTCTTCCCCAGGCCTCTGGGGGCACAGCCTCCAGCACCAGAGCAGGTCACCCCAGAACCCCGCACTGGTATCACTCCTCCTGCGTGCCACCTCCAGGTGCGGTACCCCCTGCACACACCGGTGCAGAAGAGGGGTGTGTCTCCATGTGGCCTCTGTATCTAAGCCCAGCGATCCCAACACCCCCTTGCTCTCTCCCGCCCCCTGATCCTACCGCCGATGGGCTTCACCTCGTCTGTCTCCTACTGGAATCCAGTGTATAAAATAAGCCATAAGGCTGCCCTTCTCGGGAGCGTTGCTCACTCCGCCGAGGTGTTGTTTCCTGGCAACCAGCGCCAGTTTGGGTCCCATGCACTCATGCAAATTCTCTGCAGGTGTGGATGTTTCTCACGTGACAATGTGATGCCTGCAGCACCTCCACCCCTGCCACAGGTGGAGCACTCCTCACGGCGCCAGGCTGGGCTGCCATGGCACCAGCGGCGACACTGAGGAACAGGAAGGTCCTGTCCACCCCACTGTCACCCAGCCGGTGAGCGGCAGCCCTGGGACTGAACCCAGGCAGCCAGCTTCGGGGCCCACGCACCTTCCCACCCGCGCTGCCCGGGAAACTCAGAAATAAGCAGTTATCCTGACAAGACGACTTCTCCCCAAAATGGTTCCCAGGGAGCGAGTCTGTGCCCAGAGCTGAAGCTTCCCTACCCACCTCAGATAAATATCCCCGCCCTTTTCCAAGTTCTAGAACAACCATGTTTGGAAATAAAGAGCAAATGTAAAATAAAAAAAACTGCCTAGACCGTACGACAGGAGGGCAACTTAGCATCCTTGTCGACCAGACACTGTTGAAATCGCGCTGTGTGAACAATTTTGTGTTTGGCGTCTCCCCACCCCCAACAATAAATATGACAAGAGGTTAATTTTAAACCTTGGTCAATACTTTTCACATTCTAATCGGCCCAGTAGACACCTTTGGCCTTTTGCAAGTTTCAGGGAGCATCAATAACGATCGGCGGGAGACCTTTGTGCATCAAACCTTGTCCTCATTTTTGATTATTGGCTTAGGATCCCAGCAGTAGACTGACCAGGCCAAAGGTCACCTGTGTGTTTTTTGCATCTGGATACAGACTGTGAAATCGTCACAGATTGTCCCGCCGCCCCCAGCAGAGGACTGGACATCTCCTGACATTGCAGGTGGCCGGAGCCGGCTGTTCCGGAGCTTTCTGTCCCCCTCCCCGTGGTTTTCACAAGCAGGGCTCACACACCCAGGCTGGACAGTCTGTCATCTACCCGCTTCCTCTTCCTCCCCTTGGACTCTCAGGACAGGCTGGCTGACCCACGGGCACGTCCGTGAGGGGGCTGGACGCTGTCAGCCAGCGGCTGTGGGGGACACGGGGCCAGCGGCCCCACGGGGAGTGCCGGGAGGGCCCCCCAGTTAAGCACGGCCTCCCTGGTGAGCGAGCACCCCAAGACGCTCCGATTCCCAGGATGAACTCCCGACGGGGCAGGAAACCCAGTCTGGTCTTCTGTGCAGCAAAGACGTCCCCCCCCTGCCTGTCCTCAGATTTCACTGCAGGTTCGAGCCTCAGAAGCGTTAGTCCATGAGGTCTCGGTGACTGAGCTTTCTCGGTCCCCGCCATCACCCACCACCACGGGAGCAAAAACACATCCGTTTACATTTCATTCCAACGTCTCGTCCGCCCCCTGGGCTGCGTCCACCTGACATTCACTGTGGTGCACAGAAGAGGTGACGCCCTCCCCCCGGGCTGACGGGTTCTCCTGAGCCCATGTATGGCTCAATCCGCCCTTCGGCCTGATCTGGAAGGTCACTTCCATCACACGAGATAGTCCCGCGTACACACGTCTGTTCTTCGTCTGTCCACCGCTCAGGCCCGCGGCCCTGCTGGCTCATTCCTGGGCCAACGCCCACACCTTCCAGAGTCGGCCAACGTGCTTATCAGCAGGCCCGGCCCCTCCTGCACCTCCTCCAAGCACACTCGGGAACTCCCAAGTCTGCTTACGCTCTGAGAACTCCTCCTGAAGATTCAGTAACACATGAATGAATCGCTGGTGCCCATCACGAGTACAAACGTGGGAGCAAGAACCAAGGGCTGTGCTACCCCACATCTTCCAAGGGTAGGGGACCAGCCTCCAGACACCCCGCTCCAGGCCTCTCGGCGAAGGGCCTGGCCCCCTGGGCGTCTCGCGCTCCGGGCCCAGCCATCCAGTCCCCACGCAGCAAGTCCGCCTGCCAGTGACAAGCAGACCAGACCCCCCTGGGGACATCTATTTAAAAGACAGGCACATTTCAAACCTAATTTAAGGCAACCTTGTCTAAACAGCACTGTGCATTTAGCAAATAAAAATATCGGATGCCCAGTGAAACCTGAATTTCAGATAAACAACTAAAAATGTTTGGGGGTGGGGGGGGTGTAGGTAAGTATATCCCAAATATTACACAGGATCTCTCCTAAAATATTTCTGTGGTTTATCCAAATTCAACGGGGCCGCCTGTATCTGAAGGACGGTCCCCGATCTGACAGGTTGTCGTGAGAAATCTGAGCACAGCGGTGTCCCAGCAACCGGCTCATCTGCGCGGACGTGAACCCCCAGGGCGGAAGCTTCCGGAAAACAGTCTGTGATTCTGAGAGGCCAGGGAAGGCTGCGGTGTGTGAAGGGGTGGCGTTCACAACATCAGGCCCCGCACAAAGGCAGCGGGGAGACCTGGGGCGGCGAGTCAGTTGGAACATCTCCCGTCCGCCCCAAAGGCTCCAGAGGCCTGTGCTCCACACAGGGACGGTCAGGGCTTGTCACAGAGCCGCCAGCGGTCCCCGCTCAGGGCAGTGTTCGCTGGGGGTGAGGCCCCCATGCAGGAGGTGGGCACTGGGGGGCAGGGCTCCTCTGAGGGTGCAGTTCATACTTCCCAGCTCTCGGGGAGGGGCAGCCCCGGAGCCCTGTCAGCAGAGCTGCGAGGGTCACCTCACTGTGTGGCTTCAGCAGTACTTTCCGCTGTTGAAAGCAGGCGTCCAGGGCAGTGGGCAGGAGTGGGGCCTCCACAGAGGTGGGGAACAGGGGCCCCCGCAGGGGCCGCCCGTGCTCAGAGCCCTGCCAGGGGCGGGGGACCTGCAGCGTGGCCTCAGTCAGCACCGTCCTCGGGTTTCACGGGGTGCGGGGTAGGGCCAGCGGGAGAGGGTGGGCTAGGGGCTGTTTCTCCAGCCAGGCCGCGCTGCTGCTCTAGAAAGTTCCTCCGCGGCCACACCCCGGGACTTGCAGGAAGGCCCCTGGCCTGGCTCCGGCAGGCCTCTTTCTGGCCCCAGGCACGGGCACCAACCCCACTGGCTCCTCCGGATCCCTCCTGCTCCTCCCCGAAACTTCCTCTGGCCCAGGAATGCGCCGGTGGCACAGCCCTGGGACCTCTGACCACGGGGCAGGTGGCGCACCTTCCCTCGCTCCCCTAAGACCGGAGGTCTCAAGGGTCACACGAGACTCGGGCTGGGGTCTGGGCGCTGGTGGGCCCTGAGGAAAGCAGAACTTGCCGTCCCAAAATACACCTTGTGGGACAGTGATTATTTTAAGCAGGTTACTTTTAAGAAACAAGACCCAGAAAAAAACCAACCAACCACGCACACCACCTCCGCCCCTCCCGTCCGGGCCGAGCCGCAGGCGGAAGACCTGCAGCAGGGAGGGGCGTCATCCCAGGCAACTGGAGCAACATGAACCAGGGCCCCGCGAGGCCCCTCG